GAACTCGGAACTTCTATAGGCAAAAATCTTTTACGAAATTTTTTAACATCGCGTAGAACGTGCGCTGTTAAAAGCTGTACGATAAAAATGATAGATGATAGAGTGGTGATCCAACTCTGGTGAAAAGAGGAATGTCAAGTTGGCTATTTTTTTCTCGTGGCTACGAAATACGAAAACACGTAGAATTTTCTCTCTTTTTCGGAAGAAGGAAAGAAACCTTCTATCGTACCGCTTTACTTTGACACACGGATTTCCTTTCATTTCATTGCTATTGTTTTCCCACACCTCGCATTAAAAAAAAAAAAAAAACGACAAAACCTGTCCGAAAAAAAAAGAAAAAGAAAAAAAAAACCTTATAATTAAAGCGAGCTGGCGCTCGCCAGTCCAAACGCGTGAGTAACTATTCAGGATCGTCAAATAATGAAATGTGTAAATATCGTGATATTTTTTGAACAGAAAGCGTGATTGTCGGCGATCCGAAAAGTGCGAGAACGCGTTGACTAACTGTTCTAGTTCGTATGGACAAACGTATTCGACGACAGCTTGCTCTCCGCATTCTATTCTATATAGTTTTTTCGATTATTGCAGCGGAATTAAATCAAATTATGCACGAAGAAAAACTATAACAATAATTCATAAACGGCAGAAGCGCGCGATTCCTTTCTCGAGATATTTCTATTTTTAACAATCATGCACGTGTTTACGAATTATTTATTTATTTTTTATCGGTGTGTTTTTATTTCGGCGCGTCCTTCCGTCGCTTCCTTCGTTTTGTTTTACTTGTAGCATGTATTTTTACGTGTACTTCAAAGCGAGATCTTTTTAACGATATATCAAATCTAAAAAGATACCGAATAAAAGACGCGAAACGTACATTATATAGAAACGTTTCCCTGTTTCTTGGAAGAAAAACCGTTGATCGGTTCTGTGCATACTACGTTATGTAAGGAACGAGAGAGAGAAAGAAAAAAAGTTGAATCATGTTTTTTCGCTACACGAGAAGAACTGTTCACTTCATGAATCGTTCCTTGTACAGAGAGAGAGGGCGCAAGAGTTGGCGCCCTCTATCGAGGATTGCTTGGTCGCGTTAATGATTGTACGTGTGTGCGTGGTTGCGTGCCTGCGCGAGTGTCTGTACTTTTTAATATACATATCCGCATATTTTTTCTAGATTGCCGGAATAAAAGATATTTATAAAAAAAATCTCTGCGATCTATTTGGTAAAGGAGGATGGAATAAAGAAGAGAAGAAGGAACAACGTCGATAAAACAGATAAATTAAGATTTCCTTTATTTTTCACTCATTATACTCACTGTTGCAATTGTAGGGTACACAGAGTGTAATATTAAAAAAAAAACTGTAAGTAAGAAGAAGATCCTGAATAATTTACTCGCGTCCTCGCAAATTGTAAATTTGAAGATTTACGTATACCAGTAAGGAAAAAACCTGAAATGGAAAAAATAATACGTGTTTATCCCTGAAAAACATACATACATGTATATTTGTGCATTTACACACTCGCGTGTACGCATTCACGCACACGCATATAAAACGTGGATACATTGAAACAATATACTGAAGATACTTTCCGTGAATTCTGCTCTGATTCGTGTTTTTCAAACTAATAATCTACATGAATATTCAAACTTTACACTGGAAACTTTTTGAACTAGCAATAGTTTTGACGCACCTCGAGTATAATTTTTGTTAATTGTTCATGAACGATTGATTATTTGAAAAATAACATAAATATTTTATTGCAAAAGTTTCTGATACATCGTGATATATGAGCAATTTAATTTAATTTTTTTTTTCAAAATTAATATTTTTTTAAAATAAATCCAAATTTTATAATAATGTATTTAATAAAATATAATAAATTTTCTGCTCTTTTTTACATGTATTAAATGTAAAAAAATAATCCAAACTATGTAATATTAAAAAATCAAAAATAGAAAATTTAATTATTCTCATTTAATTAATCTGATCAATAAGATTTTTCCAGTTTCCAGACTCGACGTTCTTCCTCGTTCACTCGCTTTCTTTTTCTATATTCGGCAAAAGATGTTCAAAACAAATTCCGATCAAATCGTATCAGAAATAAGAATTAATATGTATATTGAATGATTATAAATTTTCAATTCCTATTTTTTGCAATTATAAAATATTTATAAGTACTTGAGTTAGAAAAGATTGTATTTGTAAAAATGTAAACATAATTATCATTGAAGGAATAATGAAACTATCGATGCCTCTAATTTCTAATATATAATTTTTTCGAGTAAATTCCATTTCGATAAAAAAAAAAAAAAACAATTTCTCGTTATCGCGTCAAAACTATTCAATTTTAATAACACTCTTTTTATGTAAAGTATATCTACATGAATTCTCTATTAAGCTAATTTGAAAAATATTTCGGTGTTAAAACGGGTGAAAATTCGAGCGAACGAAATATTCGAATTATCGAGGAAAGAATGCAACGGATTCGAAATTTACGGCAATGTTTTTGGTTTCATCGAGTATCAAAGTATCATATATTTTGTATCGAGAGAAATCGAGTGTTTGATCATACGAGATATACGTAATGTTGGAGAAAAGGTGCTGAGCAATGAAGATTTAAAATTATTATTTTACTAAGTAAAAATGTACGTGTGTGTACGCGGGACAAAGATACGTTCGTAATACAAATACAAGTTAAGAATGATTCGTATACACACGTACGGTATGTTATAAAAGTAAGACACCGTCGAAGTTTGTCCATTAAGCGCCTCGATATAGGGCATTTTTTTAATATGCAAAAAGTACTATAATATTAGATTCAGAGTTTACAGCAACGAACCATGTGTTGAAAAATCATACTGAGCACAGAATTTATTTTCGTATTGCAATAATAATTTATATTTAAAAAAAAGGAAAAATCATAAATGCAATTTTAAAATTAACATTGTTTATGATATCATTTCAAAGATTTTATATGATTACGTATAATATTACGTACGATATTAATATGATTTACGTATATTATGGAATGTCAAATTAATAATTCGTATATATTTCCATAGCAAATATTAAATGATGAAAATTTAATTTTTTTCTCGATATAAATTTTGAAAGTTTTGAAATTTTCTTCGCTTTATTTTCAAGCTCTGGATCTATATCGATACCACTTTATAGATATTAAAAAAATAGCCTAAATCTATAAACATGAATGTATATATCTTCTGAGGTTTTTCGACGAAATATTTTCAATCGATCAAGATAAGTCGAAAGAGTCGAGCAAGTCGTCGAATAGCGCGAGAAAACGTTAAGAACGAATCGAATCCACCGAAAACTCTTTAACGTCTGTTCCCATGCAAAATGTTAATTTTGCTGAGCTTACAGGTATTGAGCGAATATTAAATGTCTTGTTAAGAAAAAAAAAAAAAAAACGAAAGAACAGAGTAGAAAAAAAGTCTCAAATCAAAAATCAAACCCATCACTTGTTTCCTTTCTACATTTTTTTTTTTTTCAACTCGAAAAGAATACAGGTAAAGGATACGGTTTACATGAATGTCTTCCTCTAGATAGTTTTTAACCTTTGTTTGTTTACATATTTAGAAGCATACACCAATCAATTTCAATAATTAATAACAAAAAATAAAATTTTAAAATCATTTTAAACTTTTTAAAGATTTTATACAAATTAACAATTGCTCGAAATTAATTGTTGGCCGCGCATAATTCCTTCGTTATATATGTTTCATTATATGTTTTTCATTTAAATCGAACAAATAACTATCGAGAAATTAACTATTTGAGATAGAATATGAAAGGATTGTTGGAAAAGCCAGATGTAAATCACGAAAGATAAATCCGTCGCATCGTGGAAAGTCGACTTGCGTACGATAAGTAGCAAATTACATGATAGTATGGATGCGCATGAGTATTTTTAAATACAGAGTCCTTTCTCTCTCTTTCTCTCTCTCTCTTTCCAAATGAGACCCTTTTCTCTTTCTCTCTCACTCTCTCTCTTTCTCTTGGTACCGAGATAGCCGTTCGAATTATGAAATCGTTACATCGTGCGAACGACTGATGCAGAAACGTGCAGCCATTGAACATCCTATCAGAACATTCTCAAAGGTACATTGGTTCAAACTCGAGAAAAACTTTAAATGCTTACTTTCAAACAGGGTAACCTGGCCATTCACCAACGATCAACTACGAAAGGACAACGACCTTCTTCCACGACATCTTTCGCTTTGTCGTTCATCCGAGTTCGAAGTTCGAAGAACGACATCTAGATGGTGATTCAATCGGTTAGTCGATCAAGAGAGAGATGATTCAGGTCAGATCCGATGATCTCTGAATCCGGATCTACTCTGATCAGAGATCGAGATCAATCATGAAAAAAATCAATGACCGAATCGTCACATCCAACTACCGGGCATACACGGAATGCGAATGGGTTTGGTGCGAAAGGACGGAATAAAAGGGTAAAATGTCAGCGCGACTATGTATTACTACTACCTATGAAAGAGCAAACGTATCCTATTAGCGATTTAGAGATCGTATTGTTTGCCCGTGTGCCCTTAAAAGAACGAAATCTCATCCATCGTAACGACGTTGGCCTTTGAATCGCGTGCCAAACGGATGGCGATAAATCCAACCGTCTCCACGGTCGAGAGAAAATAATCGCAAACGAATACGTGAGCGTATGAGCGCACATGTCTCTTGAGAGTAATTCATCGGGAACGGTGATCGCTCCATGTATATCCTAAGAGACATATACAATGTAGTATGTTCATTCTGCTTTAATGTAAGATTTTTTTATCCCATCTTAAAAAATATTCTTTAATACATTAACTCGAAGAAAACTATAAAACAATTTAAACTGTCAAATAGTCATTTATGCGATTCAATTAATTTTTCGAATACTCTTAAACTTTGACCCAGTTTTATCAATCACAAAGAGATTGATAAAAATTTAAAAACATATTCTTTGTTTTTACATTTTAAAATAAAAAAAATATTAGAAATTGAAAAATTTAAATAAAATTCAATTCAAAAATTGAAAAAATAACATTATTATAAAAAATATAATTGAAAAATAAGACATTACATAAATTTCTATGATATACTTTACAATGCAATGCAAAAGATAATATTAGGAAAAAAAAAAAAAATAAGAGACCTAAACACGAGATTATTCAAAGAATGAACACAAGATTTGTGATCTTCGCGACTTCTATGACAATCAATGATTAGAGAGGGGGGAAAAAAGCATCGTCCTTGCATACAGCTAGTATGGGGTATATAAAAGCTGGCAAAGTGAAGGAACGCAGATGTCAGTGGTTTCTAAAATCCACCGATATCGTCGCGAGTGCTACGGGGGATGCTATTTAAAGTGTTATCGAGAGTGATTGATCCATGGTGATGATGACCACTCAGAAAATTGTGCCTCAGTCGCTGGTATGTTTCCAATTCGATTCAAAATAATTCCATAGCTTTGAAATTTGAAATTGTATCATGATTTAACATTTTCAAGCTTTCCTCCTATAAATACACACGCTCATGTATATAGTTCTATGGATCAGGATAACAAGTTTAAGATGTTCATTTACTTTTATATGAAACGAAATAAATAAATTTTAATAAAAAAGATCATATCTCCGATCAAAAGATGTTGTAATCATTGGTTCGAATCGATCAAATGAAAATAAATTAAATAGAAAGTGTATTTTCGATATGATGAAGAGAATAATAATAACAAACTATAAGATTGTACTGTTCGTTCTCATCGGTCAAGAGGTCATCATTAACTGCTCAAAATCAGAACCACTTCAGGCAAATAACTACTTATTTTGTATAAAAGAAAAACGATTAATTCTCATAAAGTGTACATATATGATCATTTAAAAAGAGATATCTACATTACTGTGATTTGTGTAATATGTGCTCAATATTTTCTGAAAACTGTTTTTATAATTGTTATTATTATATTTTACTCCATTTCTTACTAATCACTTTGTAAATGGATTCTCCAGATTTTCTGGTTAATGATTCTTGGCACGTGGCATTGCACCGGTGAAAAGTTATCTCCTGATCAAAAAGCACCTCTGTTTGCTCGAGGTTCTGGTGGACTGATCTTGAATACGCCTTTCGAGGACAATAAAGCCAGGAATCGTCCGATTTCAAATGTAAATGCACCGGTGGACAACGTGCAAAAAGAGGAAACAGAAATGCTGAAATTAGTGGATGGTGAATTAGTGCGAACTGTAAAAGGAAGTTTCTCTTATAATAGCCCCGAAGGTCTTCCTATTTCTGTTAAGTGAGCAACAATTTTTTACTCTTATCGATTTATCTTTTTTAAACGAAATTTTTTTCTTACTTTGCATATCTTTTAAGATACGAGGCTGATGAGAATGGAAATAGAGCCAGCTTTAAGTTTGGTACCGGCGCCGCAAATGGTGGTAATCGTCCTTCCTTTAATTCTAAATCTGAAACTGGACGTGGTCCTGGACCTGGACCTGGAGATAAAAATGGTCCTAGTTCATACCTACCACCAACTACGAAAAAAGATGTTGATAGAAGCTATCTACCACCACAATAGAATTATTATTAGCTTTTTCTGATTACACTTGTAATGAACCTTCAATGCTTTAATATTTTGGATAAAATTTTTTTTTGTTAATCTTATAATTCAAAAGGTAAATTTTGAATTATAAATTTTTTCTCACAATTCTTTAACATCATGATCTCTTAAACAAAAATTCTATCCATACTGCTATCCTTCTTAATTACTTTATACAATTTATCGATCAACGCAATAACATAGATGCTTTTAAAATAAGTCAATAATCATCTTATGATCTTAAAATCAATTAATTTTCAGAAACATGATTGTTAATATATGTATTACTCGAATATTATCTTTCTTTCATAGAAAATATTTTCTATTCGAGCAATCGCAAAGTAGTTAGCAATGTATTATTAAATATATTAAATTTTTATAAACTAAGAAATAAAATATATTTTTTCACAGATTCTTGCATTACAATTTAATAATCCTATTAATAATTATACCCACCCATTTTTTATAGTAATCTTTCAATTTATATTAATACATACATATACACAAATCCTAAAACCTATTTATATGAATTTTTGATTACATTTTTATTTATATATCTTATTTTGTTTCTGTTATGTCATTAAATATAAACCTAAAAATAGTTTTTTTTTTTACTTAATCATACAATATTCGTGAAAACACGATTGATGTATTAGTTTTCATTTGTACTTTAAATCGTAAAAAATATTTATTTTTACGAAGTTTAATGTTTTTACAAAGAAACAAAATATCTAATAGACATGATGATTTGATTAATATTCATCTTTCAGAACCACGATAAGTGGTATAGCCAAATGGGCTCAGAAGCACCGGTATATGATAGTGTCCAGCAGGATTTTTTACGTCAAAAACAATCTCGATAAACGGATACATTGTTTCTATTCTCCTTAGTGTAAAATACTTATCAACATCAAAATGAATTTTATAACGTCCAGCTGTGAAATTAACTTTCATATTATCCACCAAATCTACGCATCGACCATTTGGACTTGTATTACTAAAATAAAAAATTGATTTTATATTGATGAAATAAGTACAAAAAATATTTGATTCATATGTTATACCTTTCATTTAAAAAAGTCCATCTTCCATCCATTAATTTATAAAGGCTAACCTGCAAACCTCCAATTGGTAAACCTTTACTTGTATCTACGACATGAGTAGAAATACGAGGCTTTTTAATCGTAGGGGACTTAATAGTTTTTAAAAGTACATGCTAGAAGAAATAATATTTGTAAGAGATATAAAATCGATAAGAAAAAAGATGTAGAAAAAAGAATTAATTTACAATTACAAAAACCGACATACTTTTTTCGGACTTTGATAACTAGTACTTGCTACAGCTAATTGATCCTTGGTTATTTGAACGCCTTTTGTGGCGTCCTCTGCTTGATTAGCTGCAATTGCAGTTTTCTTATCAGCCATTACCAACGTAGGAAATTTACCCTTTAATTTACTCAGTACATACTGAGTACCAGGCTGGAATGTACCACCTGTTAAAGTTAAAGTTTTGCCACCCGATGTTAAAGTAATCGTTTTATTTTGTGCAGGTGCAATGGGAATTGTATTCACAGGTTGAAGTACACCAATTGTGTTGGTATTAGATGCAACTGAAGAATTAATTTGATAAGCTGTGCCTAAAATAGGCAATGGACATGCCATCATTATTCCCGAATCTCCTTGTTGTTTACATTCATCTTGCTAAAATATCAATACTTTATTAAAATTTTTTATTTAACATTCATTTATAATATATTTTTTATATTGTTATATATAATATTTACCAATAATTTTGCAGATTTCCTGTCTAATTTACCATCATTTCGTCGAATTGTTCTTCCATTTTCGCGTGATTCCTTTGGTGATTCTTTATTAGAATCTTCTGTATCAGGAAGAATCGATACAACTTGCATTTCTGAATTACTTTGATCTTCTGATTCTACAACCATTTCCATTTGTACAGTTCCATGATTATCTGTTTCTTCTAGATATTCACTTTGCATATGATCCATAGCCTCAGTCAAAGAATCCTCGCAATTTTCCTATCAATATAATTAATCATTAATAAAATCAATATAATTAAATCATTAATATAATATATATTATTAAAATAAACTTTAAGAAAAAGTCCATTGTATAACTACTCACCACTCTTTCTATTTTAATTTTTTTTATTAGAATGTTTAACATCTTCTTCATCAGAAGGCATTTGCAAATGTGATACATCTTCTTCATCTTCTTCTTCTTCTTCATCTTCAACTTCAGCTCCAACATCTTCACTTGGATCTTTGATTTGTGCCTCATCCAATTCATCATCTGTTTCTAATCTCTCAACAACATATTCCACTTCATCTTCATTTTCTTCTATTTCAGTTTGAGTATGTTCTATAGCCTAATGTTTTAATTGGTTTTTATTAAAATATTGCTTAATACAATATATATCTACTTATAGATATACAATAGATATGTATATATAATATATATATTTTTCATAATAACTTATATTATGTTATATATTATAACATAAAATTATAATAATAAATTTAATATAACATAAAAAATTTAATTATTTATTTTAATTTATAATTAATTTATAATTAATAATTTAAAATTTAATATACTAATATAATTAAAAATATAAACCTCAATTTCTTCAACTTCTTCTACTTCAACCTCTTCTCCTATATTTGCCTTTCGGGCTGCAGCCTTCTTTTTTTCTTCCGCTTCGTGTAATAGAGCTGCACGTTGATGTTTCATCGTACATGTATGTTTTAACAAAGACAGTCGATGCGCATGAAGATTTTTCTTGCAATACATACAATAGGCACGTGTTGGTTGAAATGGTACGGATGTCAACCATCCTACGATAAAATATCATATCAAGTATTTTTTTTCTTATTTCGTAAATGTTATTTTTTCTTTTAATGGATTGCGATACAATTTCTACGTGCAACGTGCAGTTTCACTAAACACACTTTAACCGTATGGTAACATCGATTTGAAGATTGACCAGTAGTATTTTTACTGGTAACTTATTAACGCTAGTGACATGATACATACACAACAATATTCAGTAATCATGCTGTATACTGACGAATACAATCTACTAAATTTTCTTATCTCTATAAAAAGTTTCACATTCAAAATTATTTAAATGTAAATATTAAATCATAGTTTTAATATATTTAAATATAATTAATTATTTCACAATTATTTATTTTTTGTATAAAAATAGATATGTATTCGAAATAATAAATGATAGTCATGTGCAATTTTAAACTTTAATGAAAAAACAAAGTATCAGAATATCATGTCTAAATGGAAGTGCTTAAAATTGAAAAATATATCCAGCAGTTTTTGATATAATAAAGAAAAATCAAGTATATGTGAAAATCGTTTATTCTCTAAAAATAATTTGTTAATCAAAGTTGACGCTGGTTAAAGCTATGACGAAACGAAGTTGAAACGATTATTGTATGCATGTATCCAGTATGGCACATATACAGCACATTATAGAAATGAGTATTTTTCTTATTCGATAGTGAGCTATTTTAAAACAAGCAATAAATAATAACAGGGAGTACCTTTAAAATCAGGCATTTGTTCCCATTCTTTACGATATCGTTGCGTATAGACACGCGTCTTGGCATGGCTGATTTTTCCTGTTGGAGTAAGACGCTGACCTGTCGTCGTTAGAAGATTGGTATGTAACACAGTCTCGCTGGTCGTAATCATTGTTGGCTGCCTCTTCTTCTCCATTCCTTTCGAATCAAGACCAATTCGAAATCGCCCGGATCTCAAAATACCCAAAATCGTAACACGAAATCACTAAATAGTTTTTTCCACGATGAAAGGGAGAGGGGGCACACGGTAAGCACCGAGATCCTCGCCTAGCCTAGTATCCAAGTTAACTCCCTAGCAATGGCGGACAACTGCAACGCCGCAACGATGCAAACTTCTAACCCCCTCTGCTCTTCATCGTTCTGCTGCCAACGACGCAACTTACACTGCCGTATAAAATGTTACTTGCACCCCATTCTATATTCTTTTTTTTTCATTTACATAAAAATAGAATTTGATAACATTCATATATTTTAACGATTGTTTGAAACAAAGATTCAAATTATATTTTTTCTTATTAATATATTACATATATTTATAAAATTAAAATTATTTCTGAAAATATTTATTATTATAAAATTGGTATTTATATTAACTAAAATATTAATGTTGTTCAATTAAATTAACTTTATTAACAACAAAAAATGAAATATTCTTATGTGCAATCATTTAATTCATTTATAAAAAACAATAATTATAATAATTATATATGTATACCAATTACTATATTTATTTTTTAATTAATTGTATATTAATTTTTTCAATATGTATTTTCATTAATTATGTTATTCAATATGAATAATTCAATATTTATATAATTCAATCACATTTAATTTTACATTTTTATGTAGTACTTTTACTATTTACGATACTGTTTTCAGTAAGATTTACGAAACTATTGGTCAAATCGATATGCGTGCGCACGTCAATGTATATTCCATATTAGGCGGGAAATTATTAATTGATTGTATTTAAAAAAAATATGAATTTTCATTTAAAAATTAATTTTAAAATATTTTTCATACATTATTTATATAAATTACATGTTCTAGATCCAAATAGTATAAGAATAAATAAGAAATAATTTTATATGAAGTTTACACTCAAAAGCGACATCTAGATGGCCCTGAATTAATGAATTAATATTAGCGCCTCCTATATAATGAACGTATATTGAAAATATCTAAATTAAGGAAAGCCTTTAATATAACATAAATTATGAAATTTTCAAAAGCATACAATTATTTTTATACTTTTTATTTATTTTATTTTATTTTTAATTAATTTAATAATTTTTATTATTTTTACTAATTAATTTTTTCATTTAATATAATTATAAATAGATTTCATTAAAAGTACTTACATTAAATATAACTATAATATAATATTTTTAAAAATATTGAAAACTATAAAACTTTTTTTAATTTTTTGTTAATTTTATTTTTATATGAGATATAATTAAAATAAATATATTAATCAAAATTTAGCACATTAGTGAAACTTGATATGCTTTTAATATGTATACAATGAAAATGATTATTATCATAATTACTTATGTAATAAAATAATTATATTTTATGAAATATATATTTATTCAGCTTTTTAATTATTAAAGCACAAATTTTTTTTTATTGAAAAAAGAAGTTATTTTTAAATTTTTGTTAAGACAAAATAGAATAAAAAAAATTTACTATTTAATTATATGAATATACATGATATATTTAATTAAATATTCATTAATTTATTATGATATATCTAATTATAATATAAAAAATGTAATGATAAACTAAA